CACCACCGCAGCCTCGACCTGCTGGGCTCCGGCGATCCTTTCACCTCAGCCTTCAAAGTAGCTGAAACTACAGGCGCACGCTACCACGCCCGGCTAATTTTTTTGATTTATTGTAGAGATGAGGTCTCACCTGCCCAGGCGGGTCTCGAACCCATGGGCTCAGGCAATCCACTCATGTCAGCCTCCCAAAGGCGCGGGATTACAGGCTGAGCCACCAAGCCCAGCAAATTTTTTTTTTTAATGATTAGACTATTAGCAGGAACTCTCTCCTCCTAAGTTTTAAAATTTCTGTATCAGTCTTACAATCAGATTTTAGACTTTTAAGAAAGGAAGAAAATCACAAACTTGTCTGCAGGGCAGAGTTCTGAGTTGTTTGATAGGAATATTCCATATAATTTTCAAAATATTCAATTGCCAACCAACCAACCAAATCTGTTTATAAACACTGACACAGCATATAAGACTATTCTCTAAAGCAGTACCTCACTAATGTCATTGGAAAGTTTTCACCTTTTATTGGTCTGAGACAAAAATTAAGACTCTTTTATTCTGATATCATGTCCTTCCTTTTAGTTTGAAAGAGTATTTTTAAAATTAAAATGATAGATGTTTTCACATACAGTCCTTAGCTTGGCAAAATAAAAAGCTGCTAACTGTACTGGTCCTCTAAAATTTTCTTAGAAATATTACCAGTCTCTAAAAAATGAAAGTTTGGAATTTCTGTGCTAAAAGACCTTTACTGATACATTACAAAATATTCTTGCTTTTAAAAATAAAAAAATGGCTGGGCACTGTGGCTCATGCCTATAATCTTAGCACTTTGGGAGGCAAAGGCAAGAGGATTGCCTAAACCTAGGAGTTCTAGACCAGCTTGGGCAACATGGTGAAACCTCATCTCTACAATAAATAAAAAAATTAGCCAGGTGTAGTGGCGTGCACCTATAGTTCCAGCTACTTGGAAGGCTGAAGCAGAAGGATCACCTGAGTACAACAGGTCAAGGCTGCAGTGACTGTGAGCATGCCACTGTACTTCAGTCTGGACTACAGAGCGAGACTCTGATTCAAAAATAAATAAATATGGGCAAGCCCCTCAGGTCCCCTCCCACTGTGGGAGATTTCTGTCCTCTCAATAAATCCTACTTTCATAAATAAATAAATAAATATTAAAAAGTGAACTTCAAGCAACTTGATATGTGATATCTTATTCATCTTGGCTCTTCAGTGTCTAATACAATGCCTGGCACATAGCAAGCACTCAATTAATATTTGCTGAATTAATATATTAAGCTAAGTCACTGAAATGATAACTGCCAGATTTTTAAAAATTAAAACCAAATGAAGTATTATACAATGAGTCATGATGCTGAATTTAATATAAAAATAAACAGTAATTGTCAGATTTTTAAAAAAATTTTAAAAAATGAAATTTTTATTATGAGTCATAATATTAAAGAGTATAAACACATGCAATCAGCAATAAATAATCCACTTTTCCATATTTACAAAGCCAAAAAGTATTCAAAAATAATATTAAGAGATAATTCAGGGGAAACAAATCAAAGAGGATTCACCATAAACTGTTAACTCTTGAAGCTGGGTGAAATGTAGATGGGACTTCATTATACTGGGTACATGGGAGTTCAACATACTATCTTCTTTGCTTTTATATATATTTGAGAGTTCCCATAATTAAAAAATGAGAGCAACAACTGAACAAATATGCATTCTGAAAAGACACTATAGTAGTTAGAAGACTGAGATTCTAAATATGAAACAAGGAAAACTACTTAAATGATTTCTGTTCTGAAGCAGCTTAGTTGAATGTTAAGTTTACATGCATTAAAAAAATCAAACGGCAGCAGACCTACATACAGGTATATATCATTATGTAATAAAAGCTTTTTACGTAGGAGCTTAGAACAGAACAATAATGTTTTCCTTAGAAGGTTTGGGCCGTAAAAGAGTAAAAAAGAGAGCATACTGGTAGAAAGAAAGATGGAGGAAAAAAGTTGAGTCATGACAGGCACAGAGAGGACATAATTGGCCTAACCAGGGAAGGTGCACGTTGGGGAATAGTGAAAAAGGATTACCAAGAAAGGAAGTAGATTACAGTTAGAAGCCTCAGAAAGGCGTTCACTGATATTTCAGAAGAAAATGGTGGCAATGGATGAGTTCCCATGAGGAACTGTCATGGTTGGGTTTCTCAGGATAAGTAGTTTAGTAACATAGCATTATGTGGCGTGACATAGGGGAGCGAAATATAAAACATGATGCTAAAAAGGTTGTGAGGTGATCCTAGTGTGGATGAGGGTAGAAGCCATAGAAGAAACAGTAAGGAATAATTTAAAGAAAAAAAGAAAAAAAAAAAAAGAAAGAGTTTTTGATTAACTAGAGGTAAAAAAGCAAAGCAGTGATTCAGTCCTGTGATGGTTTCAATTCTAGATGAATAGGTGGGTGCTATCTCCACGAACAGGTGGGTGCTATCTCCACTGACAAAGACAGGGATGGTGAAAAGTACAGATTTAAGGAGAAGATAATAGGTTTAATTTCAGAGCAGTTAAAATTTGAGGAGACAATAATATAATAACTAAGCCTTCTAAGTTACCAGTGCCAGATACTTTTTTATATGCTTTATATGTATTAATGCATTTATTCTTCAAAATAACCCTAATGAGGTGGGTAATATTTTAAACATTTTAAAATACTCTTCCCCCCTCATTTTAAAGAGAAGGAAATAGAGTTACAGAAAGGTTAAGTAACTTGCTCAAGGTAACAAAGACAGTAAGTGATAAAAACAGGATTTGAACCTGTACTTAGTTTGTTCAACTGCCTCTCTGTGATATGAAACAAATGTTTAAGATGAAAAACACACATCACGATAAATACAGCTACATAAAAGATGAACAGGCCGGGCTCGGTGGCTCAGCCTGTAATCCCAGCACTTTGGGAGGCCGAGGTAAGTGGATTGCCTGAGCCCGCGGGTTCGAGACCTGCCTGGGCAACTTGGTGAGACCTTATCTCTACAGTAAATCAAAAATTAGCTGGGTGTGGTAGCGCGTGCCTGTAGTTCCAGCTACTTGGAAGGCTGAGGCAGAAGGATTGCTGGAGCCCAGCAGGTCGAGGCTGCGGTGGCCGGAAGCGGCCACTGCACTCCAGTCTGGGTGACAGAGTGAGACTCCAACTCAAAAAAAAAAAAAGATGAACATATCCATAAAGTTGCTTGGCTCTATAGAAAAAAATCTTGTAATCTGACATTTTTAACAACCAACTAACTGTTAAAAAAATGTTACTGAAGAAAGAAATTTTTTTAAATGTCCTATCTAGTAAATGAAACAAAACACGAAATAAAGAGAATTGGGATTCAAGAGAAACATTATTACAATCAAACACAAATGCTACAACATTGTAATTTAAATGATCCTATATTCACTTCAGTATTCAAGTTAAATGATTAGTAGGCATATTTTACCCAACCTTTGGTATACTTTGGAAATAAATCTTACACTTTAGAAATTCAATCCCAGAAATAATTTTTTAACAGAAGTTCCAAAATTCATTTCCTTTAGGAGAGACTAAATGTTGTCACTCTACTACTTGCCTTTCTCTCCTGTGTCACATAAAATTAAAATACAGCTACATAGTATAACCACACAGTATACTACACTGTGAATATAATTTTTACAATGACAGAATCCATAAGAATATAAATTATTTACATTTTTTAAAAAGAGTAATATAGAGGGGGCAAGAGTAATACTGATGTGAAAAAACTGGCTTCTGCATACCCTATCAATTCTAAGTCAAACAATATTTACTTACGTTCTGACACTGTGTAAAGGAGGTTCTGGGGTAAAGGAGGAGGTAGTCTTGCCCCCACTGGTGCAAGATTGGGCACTGCACTTGTCCCAGGCTGGTCACGGCTGTTGATCAAGCTTGACTGTGTAATGGGTGGGCCTACAGATACCATAAAGTCAAAGATACAGCATTAATGTTTTGTAATAAAAATGTTCACTCTACTAGTACTGATTTGGATATTCATACGTAAAATATCGCCTTTGACCTTGAACAGAATTCAATAATTTGACATATGCAGGCTTAAGCACTGTGAGTTATATAATTAAATAAATGTGCATTCCTAGTTCTGGAGCAAGTAAAACTAATCTAGGGAGAAAAAATGCAGAACAGGTTGCCTTTATGGGTGGAGGTGGAGAATGGCTGGAAAAGAGCTTGAGAAAACTTTCTGGGGTAATAATAAAGTTCTATAAACCTCTTAAATTAATGATAAGCATGCTTAAGCATACCGGTATCTGCAAAGTGCGGTAAAAAGCATAAAAAATTAAAATGGAGAGATAGAAAGATAAACGATTATACAAATATAGTAAAATGCTAATTATAGAACCCAGATGCTAAGTACATAAGTATAATCCCTTCAACTTTTCTGTTTGCTTGAAATTATTCATAGCAAAATGTTGGGGGAAATAACATTCTTGAATTTAACAAACATACATATGAGGAGGACCCAAAAAAACCCAGAATTCACTCATAAAAAACTGTATTTATTCTTACATGTTTAAACTTCAGTCGCTTTCAAAGTACTCTCTGTTTGATGCAATACACCTATTAAGCTGCTTTTTCCACTGCTCAAAACAGTTTTTGAACTCATCAATTTTGATGCCTCTTAGTGCTTCTGCTATTTTTTGTTTCACCTCTTCCACACTGGCAAAGCATTTCCCTTTGAGAATTTTTTTCATCCAGGGGGAAAAAAAAAACCAAGTTGCTCAGGGTGAGATCCAGTGAATAGAGAGGGTGAGGCACAGGAGCCATGCCATTTTTGGTCGAAAACCGCTGAACACTCAGTGCACAATGTGGGCAGGTACACTTGTAAATCACCCATCATGAAATGGGAAAACACAATGAAAGAATCTCCAAAAATATTTACTGAAGCCCAATGCAGCCTCTCACAACAATGCCAGCTGGTACCCTGATGCCGATGGGTTCCTAGAACACTGATCTAGCAGGGAAAGCCTGTACTATAAGGAGTCGCCCTCCAAAAAGATAATTCTGAGTTTTTTGGGATTCCCTCGTTTGTTTGTTCATTCATTCATTCATTTATGGAGTCAGCATCTCACTCTGTAGCCCAAGATAGAGTGTAGTGGCATGCTCATGGCTCACCACAGCCTCAAACTCCCAGACTCATGCAATACTCCTGCCTCAGTCTCCCGAGTAGCTGAGATTCCAGGCACATGCCACAAAACCCAGCTAATTTTTTAATTTTTTAATTTCTGTTGAGACAAGGACTTGCTGTGTTGCCCAGGCTGGGCTAGAACCATGACTCAAGCAATCCTCTCATCTCAGTCTCCCAAAGTGCTGAGATTACAGGTATGTGCCACCACACCAGGAGAATTTCACTTTTTTTTTTGGTTTTTTTTTTGAGTTGGAGTCTCACTCTGTCACCCAGACTGGAGTGCAGTGGCCGCTTCCGGCCACCGCAGCCTCGACCTGCTGGGCTCCGGCGATCCTTGCGCCTCAGCCTTCCAAGTAGCCGGAATTACAGGCACGCGCTACCACGCCCGGTTGATTTTTTGATTTATTGTAGAGATGAGGTCTCGCTGCCCAGGCGGGTCTCGAACCCGTGGGCTCAGGCAATCCACTCACCTCAGCCTCCCATCACTTTTTTTTTTTTAATGAGTTGAAGTCTGTCGCCCAGGCACGCATCACCATGCCCGGTTAATTTTTTGACTTACTGTAGAGATGAGGTCTTGCCAAGTTGCCCAGGATGGTCTCGAACTCGTGGGCTCAGGCAATCCCCTCACCTCGGCCTCCAAAATGCCTTGAGTCACCACACCCGGCCCATGAATTTCACTTTTAAACAGATTTGTTACCACATTGAGAAAATGTCTTTTATTATAGAAATTCTTTTTCCCTTTTCTTTTTTTTTTTTTGAGTTGGAGCCTCACTCTGTCGCCCAGGCTGGAGTACAGTGGCACGCCCCTGGCCACTACAGCCTCCACCTGCTAGGCTCAGGCAATTCTTCCACCTCAGCCTTCCAAATAGCTGGAGCTACAGGCAAGCTCCACCACACCTGGCTAATTTTTTGAGTTACTGTAGAGATGAGGTCTCGCCAAGTTGCCCAGGCTGGTCTTGAACCTGTGGGCTCAGGTAATCCTCTCACCTCGGCCTCCCAAAGTGCTGGGATTAAAGGAGTGAGCCACCGCACCCAGCCTTATTGTTAGAATTTCTATATATAACAATGCTTCTGTATCAGGAGAATAAAATCTCAGGTGAATTTCACAATTACCCTACTTATGTGATAACATTAAATATTCAAAAACACTCAGTTTAAAAAACCGTATTTCTACTGACCAGATCTATGCATTAAACCTCTCCAAACATTTACCAACTTTGATAACATGTGTTTACTATTCTATAGGGATTATGCTTGAGATCATGCAAAACTGCTTTTTCAACTTCTAGAGTGTATAATTATTGCAAAATCAAATGTTAAAAAATAAAGAAATTGATAAAAAGAACTGCCTGAATAAATTAAATGGCAATAATTTCTAAAAAGAACAATTTGGCACTTTTTAATAATATAAGTTGGGTACAGTGGCTCACACCTGTAATCCTGCCACTTTGGGAGGCTGAGGCAGGAGAACTGCTTGAGCCCAGGAGTTCAAGACCAGCTGGGGCAAAATATCAAGAACTTGTCACTAAAAAAAAAAAAAAAAAATCAAAAACTTAGCTGGGTGTGGTAGTGCATGCCTGGGAGATTGAGGCAGGAGGACTGACTGAGCTAGGAGGTAAAAGGTTGCAATGAGCTGTGATTGTGTCACTGGTAGTCCAGCCTGGGCTAAAATGAGACCCTGACTCAAAAAATAATAATGATGATGTTAAATACGATGGAAAGGAGGGGAGAAATGAAAAAGGGGTAAAATATGTACTAATGGAGGTGGTGGGTACAGTTAAAAGTCCAGGCTTCTTCACCACTGTAAAAAGTAGCCATGTAAATCCGGGCTCGGTGGCTCAGCCTGTAATTCCATGCCTTTGGGAGGCTGAGGTGAGTGGATTGCCTGAGCCCGCGGGTTCGAGACCCGCCTGGGCAGCGAGACCTCATCTCTACAATAAATCAAAAAATCAGCCGGGCGTGGTAGCACATGCCTGTAATTCCGGCTACTTGGAAGGCTGAGGCGCAAGGATCGCCGGAGCCCAGCAGGTCGAGGCTGCGGTGGCCGGGAGCGGCCGCTGCACTCCAGTCTGGGCGACAGAGTGAGACTCCAACTCAAAAAATAAAAAGTAGCCATGTAAAACCATTTGTATCCCTAAAACTACTGAAATAAAAATAGATAAATAACATTAAATATCTTCAAGTAGATATTTTAAAAACATTTTTGCATACATATAAATTCACTCAATTTTTTTCAATTGTGTCTGAAAAATTTAGTCTTACTTCTGTTTCTGCTACATTAGCAACTGTAATAATGTTTTTTAAATATCACTTTTAAACATTTCTTACTCTTAATTTTGGTGGATGTGATACTGGCATGGCATATTGATTTTTTTTTTTTAAAGTCCTTATCAATACTGAAGTACATACTACATACTAGTAAAATGACATGACATTTAGAATTCACTCTAGCAAAAAACAAACCAACCCAAAAATATGTGTGGAGGGGTGGGGAATGAGACAAAAACAGCTGAATATTGATAACCCAAGGCTGGATGATAGTACATGCAATATATATATTATTTTTCTACCTCTAAAATTTCCTTAATACAAAATTTTAAAATATTATCTCAATATTCTTAAAAACTAGCTCTCTTAACACACTATCAACTAACAAGATTTTGACACTGAGGTAATATAAATAAAACCATGCAACAAAGGGTGAAAAAAGGGAAAGAACAGCATCTTAATTATTGGAACGTATGCCAAATTCTATTATTATCTTATTTTTCAAAACTTTCGACAAAATGTCAAATTAGCTAAAAGGGATGGGGGTTCCTCTAAATAGACTTCTCTATTAAAGTATTAAAATTTCAAGCAAAATATACTTACGTGGTATGGGAAGCACAACAGAAGGCGGAGGTTGACCATGTCCTTGGGGAACAGGAAGTCTCATACTATGGCCAGGACCTGGACCTGGGCCTGGGCCTGGGCCTGGGCCTGGGCCTGGGCCTGGGCCTGGGCCTGGGCCTGGACCCGGGCCTGGCATTGGAGGCATTAACATTCCAGGAGGTGGTGGAGGAGGAAGCCCGGGAGGAGGGGGTGGGAAAGGAATCATACTTGGCAGAGCAACTTCATCAACAACTAGGGGATCATTTCCATGATCAAACTGACAAAGGTCACCAAGTACACAAAATCCTCTTTCTGTAAGAAGAAAAAAAGAATCTTATTATGATCTACTTAGGGTTTAGAAAACAACAAAACATGTTACTAAAAAATTCATCAATTTGATTTACAAAGGGGTTTTCTCCAAGGAGTCCGAAGCCTTAATGCTATTCTGATAATCATCTCAATCCCTAAGGTAGAAGCAGATGTATTCTCTAGTTTTTATACTACGAAACTATGACACTGAAATAAATAACAGAAGCAAGAACAGGTTACTAGCTGTTAGACTTGCGATTAAGTTTCCATAATAAAAACTCAGATATTTTAAGCAAATATCAATTTAGCAAATGCTTAGGGTGAAGAGGAATAAGGGCACTGACATTAAAGATTTAATTTCAATCTAGTCTCACAATATTATCCTAAAGCACTATTCTTGCTATATCTGCAAGTTAAAACTTTAGTTTAAAATACTCTAGTGGACGTTATACACCAGCTTCTCACCATAGCACTGTTCATAATAGAAAAACATCAGAAACACCCCAAGTATCCATCAGTAAGGAACAGGTTAAACATATTTTGTACCTAACGAATACTAAGAAGACTAAATAAATTTGAGGAAGTTCTTTGTTTTAACACAGGATGAATGCCAGGAAATACTACTAAGTGAAAAAAACATTATGCAGAAGTGTGAATAGTATATTAATATTTACATAAAAAGAGGGGGAATATGCATATGCTATTTGTTTACATACATATGCATAGACTACGTTTGGAAAGATACACAATAAACTGACAATATAAGTTAAGCTTGGAAAAACTTCTGTGGCTGGGAGATCAGATGAGAATGAGGTAATGCCTGAATTCTGATTTTACTCTATTCCCTACTTAAACAAAATGTAAAAATATATGCATTCTATATTTACAGAAAAAAAGTTAAGATGTGTGTAACTGCCTGAAATCACGTAGGACATAGAGAAGTGAATGTGAGTATAGATAAAAACAAGATTGCCAGCCAAGCTCGGTGGCTCAGCCTGCAATCTCGCGCCTTGGGAGGCTGAGGTAAGTGGATTGTCTGAGCCCGCAGGTTCGAGACCCACCTGGACAACTTGGTGAGACCTCACCTCTACAATAAAAAAAAAAAAAAAAAATTAGCCGGGCGTGGTAGTGCGCGCCTGTAGTTCCAGCTACTTGGAAGGCTGGAGCGGAAGGATCACCAGAGCCCAGCAGGTCGAGGCTGCGGTGGCTAGGAGTGGCCACTCTAGTCTGGGAAACTGAGTGAGACTCCAACTCAAAAACAAACAAAAAAAACAAGATTGCCCATGAGTCAGTAGTTATTTAAATGAAGTAATGACTAACAAACTGGGATAATTATATTATTTTGCCAACGTTTATAAATATTTAAATATTTCAAGAATAAAAAGTTAAAATCATACACACATACCAGTTTATTCATTCGAATGGAAAGTCAGCAAATCAAACTTGCGAATAGATTATACATGTTTAACAAACTCTCAGCATCAAACAATACACAAAGAAATTATTCCTAGTGTATGACAAATTTTATGGTATACAGTGTTTAAGAACAATGAGAACAAAAAATGAACAAATAAGTATTTTCTTGGCAAGAGCCAAATCTTTAAGTCAAACAAATAAATAAGCACTTGGCAAAAGACATTCTCGGAAGCTTTTCTTTCTTGAGAAACTTGCCCATAGCAGGTCTTTCTACCATGAAGCTTCCTCTCTCCTCCTCTTCTCAACAATAAACTCCGTTTTAAAACTTTTAAAAAAGGCATTCTCCTCCCAATTCAGCCCTTTTAACAAAATCTGGGCTATAATTAAAACATACGCAATATATGCAACAGTTGCTTTACTAGTACTTTTGGGTAAAATATAATAGAAGGTGGTGATTTTTACCATCATAATCTCTGCATCGTCTCTTTGGTGGTGGGTTTCGACCAAAAGAATTGGAAGAGCTATGATTGTTATAGTAATTAGACCAACTCTCAGTTGTGTTTTCAGAGTGGTGAGCAGGTGCAATCACAGTAACAGTGCTGGGAATAGACTGTGCCCCAGAGGAATACTGCTCAGAAGAGTTTGGAGGTGGTGCAGATGCAGGCACATAGGAACTCTCCAAGTCATTCCTTTCACTCTTAAACTTTGATCTTTCCCTGTGCTCTGCTTTAGAGACAACATAAAGACAAAAAAAAAAGAGATCAGATATTTATGTTCTTAAACTGTTTATTTTCTCACAGAACTGAAAAGACGAGAATACTGAATTAAACTTACTGAGCTATCTACATTTCCAAGTGCTCTCATTAACAATATATTCTAAAAGCAGGAACAACAACAAGGTGACATATCTTAATCAACAATGTGTGCAAAATCACCTTTTATAACACCAATTACCATTAATGAAAAAGGGTCAGTTTCTCCACTGATATTTAATAAGAATGTTGGCTGGGTGTGGTGGCTCATACCTATAACCCCAGCACTTTGGAAAGACTGCTGAGATGGGAGGATTGTTTAAGCTCAGGAGTTTGAGATCAGCTTGGGCAACATGGTGAGACCTCATCTCTACAAAATTATCCTGGCTTGGTGGTGCATGCCTGTAGTTACAGTCACTCAGGAGGCTGAGGCAGAAGGATCACCTGAGTCCAGGAGGTCAAGGCTGCGGTGAGCAGTGAGTGTGCCATTACACTCCAGCCTGGGTAACAGATTGAGACTCCGAGTCAAAAAAAAAAAGAATCTAAGAATTGACTTCCAAACTGATATCTCAGGAAACAAGTAGTTGGGATCCCAGTAATCTACTTAAGTTTTTTTCTTTTTAATTTTATAAATTTTACGCACCCTTACAGCACATCAACTACCTTCCTAAAATAAAACAAAAGAGTCAAAGCAGATAACCCTCTTCCTCAAGAGAAAGTTTTGTCACTTAAAAGACATTTGTATCAATTATGCAAAATGAGTTAAGTCTAGACGTACAATGATACACTTATAAATAGCTTCTTTTTAATCAAACTCCCTGACTCCATTCTGAGAATGGAGACTTGTTTTGTAATAAAATCAATATTGAGCTTCTTGAGGCAATTCCAGTTTTTATATTGCCTGGACATATTAAAGGTACATCTAAGCCGGGCTCGGTGGCTCAGCCTGTAATCCCGCACCTTTGGGAGGGTGAGGTGAGTGGATTGCCTGAGCCCGCGGGTTCGAGACCCGTGGGGGCAGCGAGACCTCATCTCTACAATAAATCAAAAAATCAGCCAGGTGTGGTCGCGCATGCCTGTAATTCCGACTACTCGGAAGGCCAAGGCGGAAGAATCACCAGAGCCCAGCAGGTCAAGGCTGCAGTGGCCAGGCGCAGCCACTGCACTCCAGTCTGGGCGACTAAGTGAGACTCCAACTCAAAAAAAAATTTAAAAAAGTACATCTACTCTTAAGGGAATTTCTTGTACCCTTGTGATACAGAAAAATAAGCAAATACAGAGTTTTCAGAGGACACCTCATCTACTCACCAACATTCCTGTTTGGATCCCGGTCTTTGCTGCGCCCCCTACTTCGGCTCCTGCTACGACTCAGCCCTCGACTCTTGCTCCGACTCTTACTCCTGCCTCTTCTCCAGTCATACTTCTCACGGTACAATTCATTCCTCTCATAGTACCGGTCATAGTCTCTCCATTTGCCATCTTCTCTTTTTTTCTCACGTGTCCTATAATACACGGATATAAATGCCATATATATAAGTTATAGAAATCAAGTTTACAAACAAATCTATAGCATGAAACAGTCTCCTTGAGTCATCAAAATGCATAATATCTGCACTCTTTTAGAAAGTTGCAAGGCCACCACCTAACTCCAATAATCCAATATATAAAAAGAAAAAAAAACATTCCTACTTCAAGCATACTGGGAGGGGAGAAATGAAAAAAAAGGGTGAATCCAAAGTATGGGGAGGGGTGGAGAGAACAGAGAAATTCAGAACTGCAAAAGAAAAAAGGTTCAAAACAAAGCTTTGCTAAACAAAGACCAATTTTTTGACGTTAGGTTGACAATTCAAAGTACAAACTGAACTACCTGTCATATAAAATGATATGATGATTTTAATACTAAGCACCCCTAACCAAATGGAACATTTCACGGATATTCTCTAAGGAGACTGCTCCCACCCCTGAGCTCTTGGGGAAGCACATAATGATGACTGTTTATAAAAGGAACAGAATATAAGACAAAAACTGAAAATAGAAGGAAGAAAGTTAACTTTCTCTTTCTTCAATGAATTTAGAGAGAATCAGTATTTATATTTAAAAATACCTTTAATGACCTTGCAGGGCAACAGAAAAGTAAGTTATCAATGTCTTCCTAATGAAAGATAAACACAAACCTTCGTTCACTAGATTCTGAACGAGTCTTCTGGGGACTAGGATATTTCTTTTTTTTGCCATCTCGTTCTTCCTCTGCTGGCTCCTGAAATATCTACAGAAAAACATTCAATAGAAATAAGAATAGTCCTTTATAAATTATGAAACACATCCACATGGTGCAAGAGAGGTCACAAATAAAAGCACTGAAATACTAATGTCAAATCATATCCAAAAGAGTTAGACAACAGCAGAAATAAAAAAGATGCTCAGATTACTTTAATAAGCAGTATGTCAATTTTCAAATGTTAAAGTAGGAAATGGTATTGTAGAAACAAAACAAGAAATTCATTATCTAAATTGAAATGAAATAGCAAATCTCTTAGTATCATACAGTAAAATGGTTTATATGTTCCTAATTATAAAATATATATAATATATATAATTAATTAATATATATAATTCACTTGAGGAGGACTTTAGATTTATTTCACAGAAAAAGTTTTAGGAACAAATGGCTAAGTTAATGAATGGAATAAAACTGAGTATTTAATGTAAACTATGGAAGGCTGGTATTGGAACTAACAGAAATGTTAAGGTTTCTCTTAAAGCCTAATAGTCAAGAGTGGCCAGAGGGTTGGGTGCGATGGCTCACACCTGTAATCCCAGTACTTTGGGAGGCTGAGGCAAGAGGAATACTTGAGCCCAGGAGTTCAAGACCAATCTGGGCAACACAGCAAGACTTCATCTCTTAAAGGAAAAAAAGAAGGGACCAGAAACCAATCCAGTGATTTTTATTCCTGTCTTTTAACAGAAGTTGATCTCAAACCAGACATGTAGCCTTTATAAGACAAAGGTAAAATAAAGTCAATTGCAAGAACTAAACAAATGCCCATGTAATGGAGAAGCTTACTTACAAATAGCCAAATCAGAAAGTGAGTGAATGGATTAAGAAGTAATTTAATAAAATTCAGGAAACATAAAATTGCAGCCACAATATGGCAACCATATAGTGCCGTCAAAAACACTAGTCATTCAACTACATTTAAAAATCACTCTCTCTACCAATCCACAAGAAATACAGAGAATGTATTACTCCACTGAGATGTAATAAGCAAAATCCAGACAGGAAAAAAACTTTATAGAATAACCAAATTCCTTCACAAAATAAATTTTAAGGGAAAAGAAGAGGAAAAGAAGGGAGCAACAAATACAGTATGCTTCATAAATCATAGTATATATCTAAGTAGTTTTTCCAGAAAACAGAATGAATTGTGCCAATGATTCAAATTCTCTCATCTTGTTCTTCTTGTGGTCAATACTCTAGTTGTAAAATAACTGATAGAACAATGTAGCTGAGAATTAAGGAAAAGTGGAAATGGGTAGTCCTGAGATAGATTTGCTCCTTCATACCCTGTTCAGAACAACTGAGCACAGACCAGAAGACAATTTAACAAAGAAACATGCCAACTCAAACTTCCTTCCTGCCACATTATCTAAGAGAACTACTATAAACTATTACTTTTATGCACTATCACATGAACTATTATTTAGGCCAGCAATTAAGTTATGTATAAAACTTGGAAAACGAGAAATGCCAGAAAGTGTCAGATGGAATAACCCTACACAGAAACTGAAAGTATAGATTTTTTACAATTCTCAAAATTAGTATTTACAAAGACACAAATAAGACAATGAAAATCTGTTGTTTTTTTAACCTGTTTTCTCAACGCTCAAGATAATAAAAATTTTCTCTTATATTAAATCTGCTCCCAATTATGAGATGATTACAGGGCATGATATAAAAATAAAGATGTAACAGGGGTCTCAATTTTTAATTAAATGTAGCTACCTTTTGTTTTCTTTTAAATTTGGATCAGCCCAATCAGCCTAGCATTTAAAAATGAATCAGAAATGACAACAAATGATATGCGTTCCTTAGAATGAATTCTGGAAACGGGCTGGGCATAGTGGCTCACACCTGTAGAGCCAGCACTTTATGAGGGTGAAGGAGGAGGACTGCTTGAGGCCAGAAGTTCAAGACCAGCTGGGCAACATAATGAGATCCCACCTCTATACCAAAAAGTTTTTTTAATTGACCAGGCATGGTGGTATGTGCCTTTAGCCCTAGCTACTCGGGAGGATCATTTGAGCCCAGGAGTCCGAGGCTGCAGTAAACTCTGATCATGTCACTGCACTCCAGCCTGGGCAACAGAGTTAGACACTGTGTCTAAAAGAAGGGGGTATTGTTTGATCATTTGACAAAACTGGATAAAAAAGAGTAGATTAAATTATTGTAACAGATGCTAAATTTACAAAATTGATAACAGTATCATAGACCTAAGAGAAAATCCTTATTCCTAGAAAATACACACTGAATTGCTTAGGAGTAAAGAGATGCAATGTATGTGACTTACTATCTAGAAAAAAATCATTATGGGTATGGATATATAAAGAGAGAAAATGGGGCAAATCTCAGTAAGTAAATCTAGAATGCCTATAATCAGCACTTTGGGAGGTCAAGGCAGGAGGATTGCTTGACCAGCCTGCGCAACACAGCAAGACCCTGTCTCTACCAAAAAGAAAAAAGTAATAGATATATGTCGTATAAATGTTTTGGTTACTATTCTTATAATTTTTTATGTAAGTTTTAAATTGTTTCCAAACAAAAAGTTCAAAAAACTTCTGTCTTCAGAATAAATGCAATAAAAACAAATATTAGAAAATATTTCTTTATAATAACCAACACATGTGCCAGGCACTGGAATAAGAACTACATATGCACATCAAACCTCATTTATTTCTCAGTACTATTCTGATCCTCATTTTTTACTGATGTGAAAGTGAGACAGAAGTAACTTGTTATAGGGCTGTTATTTTAACTCATGCAAGCTGACTGGTAGAACTTGCATTCTCATCATATTCTATACTGTCTGTATATAAAAGGAATTACATATTAACTCTGTAAAATTTCCTCTTGGTTCAAACAATTAAGTTGCCATCTATAAACATGTCTTATACTTCAACATTGTAAAAGCATTTAACCTTTCCAATGTAGACAGTGATGTTTATAATTACATTATTTTTAAAACTCTATGAAGTTAAAAAGAATAAATAGTTTCTTTAATACATAAAAATGTGTTGCCTAATGATTTCTCTTGAGGTTTCATTAGTATTTTACTTTTAAGGTTGGGTTCGGTGGCTCAGCCTGTAATCCCAGCACTTGGGGAGGCCGAGGCAAGAGGACTGCCTGAGCCTGTGGGTTCAAGATCAGCCCAGGAAACTTGGCAAGACCTTGTCTCTACAACAAATAAAAAAGTAGCCAGCTGTGGTAGCAAGTGCCTATAATTCTGGCTACTTGGAAGGTTGAGGCAGAAGGATCGCCGGAGCCCAGCAGGTTGATGCTGGGGTGGCCGTGAGCATGCCACTGCACTCTAGTCTGGGAGATGGAATGAGACTCCAACCCAAAACAAACAAACAAAGCAAAACAAAACTTTACTTTTAGTCCGGCCTCTATATTTAACTACTTTTTCTTTTTCTAAAAGTCACCGGATAAGATTTCTCTGACTTCGTCAATAACACTAAAATATTTCTTGAATCTCAAAACAAGTGATCTGAAATTCTTCCAACTCTTCAAGTTCAAAGAACTAAGAAACCCTGGTAAAGAATCTGTACCATGCCTAAAATCCAGAAACTTCAACTAATAAACAATTACCTCTATAGCACTAAACCTCTAACTAAGGATACTGGTGTAGTATGAACTAAGAAGCCCCGAAAGCCCCCCCTACAAAAAAAATTTTTGTATTACCTCTTCTTTAATTTCTTCTTTTTCTTGGACTAGTGGTTTTGGCTCGGGTTTAACAGGTTCCAAAGGAGGAAGGTAGTTCTTAGTATAGAGACTTTCAAATAGTTTGTCCACAAAACCTGAAGTTTCTAAGAAGAAGAAATATTTAAATGTTGCACAAACAAAAACAAAACCTTGACAACATACTGGCAGCAAAGTTTAGGAAAACAGGACATCTTGTACACCGCTAGGAGGACCGAAAATAATTCCTATCTTATGGGTGTTAATCAAGGTTTTTAACTTCTGGGTTTTAAACTTCTGGATTTTTTAATCCTTCTGACATACTTGCAAAATGATATATATGCAGGACTGTTGGTGTATGTAATAGCAAAAGATCAGAAACAACTCAAATTTCCAAGAATAAGAAACTAATTAAATGAATTTTAGGTCTACTATACAACAGAATACACAGCAGCTGTAAAAAGAACGAGTACAGATAATACCAATTCTTGAGGATATAAGAGTAAATATTTGCATGTGTGTATATCTACCTAAATAAATAAACTGAAAGGACACAAAAACTGACAAAATTGTGTACCACAGGTGAGAAGGCAGCTATAGAACAGGTAAGAGACTTTCATGATACATCTTTATGTTGTTCAATTAAATGTACCACCTATTCAAAATTTTTAACTGAAAATATATTTAAATCAGTTGAAATATTTATTGACATGAAAGACACAGAAGTAGCTGTTTTGTATTTTATCTAAAGGCTGCTATATTTTGAAACTTTTTCAGACAATCAAATGAAACTAGATGAATTTACTATAAGTATCACTATCAAATGTTTATATTGTCTTATTAAAACCAAATTTAACTTTCACTGGTCCTACCCTAAGGAACAGCTAGAGTATTAAAAGCACAACACAGACTAGGCTGGGTGTGATGCCTCATGTGTAATCCCAGCACTTTGGGAGGCAGAGGTGAGAAGACTGCCTGAGTCCAGGCGTTCAAGACCAGCCTGGGCAACTTGGTGAGACCTTGTCTCTACAATAAGTCAAACAATTAGTTTGGCATCGTGGTTCATGCCTGTAGTTCCAGTTACCTGGAAGGCTGAGACGGAAGGACAGCTGGAATCTAGCAGGTTTAGGCTGAGGTGGCCGTGAGCATGCCACTGTACTCTAGCCTGGGCGACAGAGTGAGACTCCAACTCAAGAAAAAAAAGAAGCACTTACATAGGTTCTGCATACACATCAATTTTGCTTTTTGTATAAAAGCAATTTCTAAAAAGTCAAATGACCTTTTCTTCATAAAAGTAACAACTTCTTTACACTACTAATTCGTGCAATAAGCATTTTTCCACGATTACAAAACTGTTAAAACTCTTGTTAACTGTTACATACAATCTCAGGATAACAAATAACTTAATCAGACCCTTGGAAAGCCTTTATAATCAGAAGACTTTCCTCTTATGATTATTTTTAAAACTATCTTATAATATGTATTTACCTTTTATAATTTAGAAGACATATAGCCCAATTTTAAAAAAGCAAAGATAAACATTAACACTAAATGACATTCAAGATATTAAATTTTTTAAAAGCATATTATAAAAGAGTATTCATTTAATATTACTTTAAAATGTAATATAAACATAGACATAAGTCTAGAGCTGCACTGGCCAATATGATAGCCACTAGTCACATATGGCTCTTTAAATCTGAGTTTAAAAAAATTTTTTTTGCCAGGCTCACGCCTGTATTCCCAACCCTTTGGGAGGCTGAGGTGAGAGGACTGCCTGAGACCAGGGGTTCGAGACCAGCCTGGACAACTTGACAAGACCCCATCTCTACAATAAATAAAAAAACTAGCCAAAAGTGGTGGTGCATAATTGTACTTCCAGCTACTTGGAAGGCTGAGGCAGAAGGATCACCAGAACCCAGCAGGTGGAGGCTAGGGTGAGCTGTGATCACGCCACTCACTCGTCTGGAGTCTATTGGGCCTCACTCTGTCGTCCAGACTGGAGTGCAATGGCATGATCATAGCTCACTACAGCCTCGACTTGCTAGGCTCAGGTCATCCTTCCACCTCAGCCTCCAGAACAGCTGAGACTACAGGTGCATGCTACCACACCAGGCTAACCTTTTTATTTTTTACAGAAACAAGGTCTTATTATATTGTCTAGGCTGGTCTCGAACTCCTAGGTTTAAGCGATTCTCTCACCTTGGCCTCCCAAAATGTTGGGATTACAAGCATAAGTCCCAAATTTGAGTTTAAATTAATAAAAATTTAAATTTAAAATCAGCTTCTCTCACATATTAAACAAATTTCAAGTGCTCAACAGCCACATGTGGCTAATGGCTACCAAACAGGAAAGTACAGACAGACACATCCATCACTGCACAAAGTTCTCAAGGATAGTGCTAATCTAGAAAGACATACACAGCAGTTAACAGTGATTTTATCTCTGGTGACAAATTTATGGTTGTTTATTTTCTTATCCTTTTTAAAATGTAGTGCTTAATTCTTTCTCATGTATAATGCTTATATAATGTTTAAAAATTACTAAAAACCTTATCGCTTTTTAATAACAAAGAAAGTCTTAGACGTCTAAACATATATTTGCCTCTTACCCCAAATATCTTTACTATGTTTTGCTTTTTCTTTTTTCAAGGCTCTATATTTCACATGACTCATCTTTAATGGAAATGAATTAATGCATTTAGAAAAGAAAGCACTCATCTGTACTGGGAAGGAATTTTGTAAGTAATAGTTACTGGTTTTGTTTTGTTTTTACCAAAAAAATAAAAAAGTCATAAAATGCATGAAAAAAAAGGTAATCCTGTGTTTTAGACTGAGAAGTCATATTTACTTTTTCCTTTCTCAGTAGAAATTTAATTTAAAGAATATCTTCTCATCACCAATAACTACAGCAACTGATATGTGTGCATTATTCACATTCCTGTTCATTCAGTCAATGATATTTACTGAACATCTTCCATCTGCCAGGCACTATAGGTTCCAAGTCTCCACTCTCAACAAAAGGAAAGACAAAGGATGGAAGGACAGATAAACGGGTAAATAAACACATGGCAGGTGGTAACAAGTGCCATGAAAAAAATAAAGCAGGGTTGGCAGGAGGAGAGTGAATGGAGGCATAGAATATCCTATGCTGTATATAAAGTGCTCAGGAGAAAGTGCTCTGAGAAGGTAACATGGAAAAAGAGACCAGAAAGAAATGAGGGAGGAATTCATGTTTCAGGCAAGGGTAAAATGAGTTCAAAGACCCTAAATTGGGAACATATTTGCCATATTTAAAAAAAAAACATGGTCAATGTGGCTGGAGTGCAACAAATGATGGGGAGGGATCACAATGAGGTCAGAGAGGCAAAAGGGGAAGCCTCAAGGAAGCTCTGTAAACCATGCAAAGTGTTCTGGTAAGAAGATGGGAAGAGAAGCCGGGCTCGGTGGCTCAGTCTTTAATCCTGTGCTTTGGGAGGCTGAGGTGAGTGGATTGCCTACGCCCACGGGTTCAAAACCCGCCTGGGTAACTTGGCGAGACCTCATCTCTACAATAAATCAAAAAAATTAGCCAGGCATGGTAGCACGCGCCTGTAATTCTGGCTACTTGGGAGGCTGAGGCAGAAAGATCACCGGACGCCCAGCAGGTTGAGGCTGCCGTGGCCGGGAGCGGCCACTGCACTCCAGTCTGGGTGACAGAGTGAGACTCCAACTCAAAAAAAAAAAAGAAGATGGGAAGAGAAAAGCACAAAGAGAAGAGGATCATGTCCATCCCTTCTTAGGTATCAAGAAGCCCCAGTCAAGGAGGATAAAAACAGATGGGCTCATGTTGTAATAACAGCAAGAATAAACAGCCTCACTACCCTTAAACTGTTACCTCTCAACTATCAACTAGGCTCTGCCAAAAGCTACAAAAGACCTAATCTCCTAAAAAGCTTTAAAGCTGTCATTGCCTCAATACTGGAAAGCAGCAAAGAAAGGTAAAACACCAGTCCTACCCAAAACACATGATAAATAATTAAGCATAAGTGGGCATATTCAAGTATTCAAAGGTCCCTGACCACTTACTTTCCTATCAAGCTTATATCTTCAAGACTTTTCAGGAAGTTTTAAATTCAAAATCTTTACCTAAATACTTCATTGAAGGCCTATAATAATTACCTTTTTGTAAAAAGACATCAAGTTGATCAGCACAAAAGGCTTTCAATTCTTTCTCAGGTTTGTCCTTCTTGACCAGTGCTACAACATAGTTGGCTAAGGCTGACGGGTCAGCATCACATCTAATGAGGCAAAAAAGAAAACAAAAATTTTAAACACCTTTTTTTAAACAGTGGTATTATTAATGAAGTCACTCCTATATTCGAAAACCAAAGTTCAAAGTTTTTTATTTTAAAAAGTGACTGTGAATATAAACATTTATTACAATAAACATATACATACTGTGAGAGTTTCCTTTTCTCTTTATTTCTATAAAATAGTTTGTCTCCTATTTTCAAAGTTCTAATTGCTCCAAGAATGTTGAACCAGATCTATATTTATTTGTTCTCTGAATGGTTAATAGGGAAAGAGTGACAATTGGCCCTTAAGTTACTGTTTGACATCTAGCCTACCACTGTCAATAACACCCTCAGGAACTATCTATCTGCTCCATGTGACCAATGAGGAAAGAGCATGGGGCAGCTTTCTCATCTCCTCAAGACACCTCTCCATACAACCCCAGGCACCAGCATCTAAAAGAAGTTGTCAAGTCCCCACTAATCTTTTTCATGAGTATCTTAACGATCTTTTTAATAAGCGAAAAACACTAAGGATAGCACTTAAATATTACTGGCAATTGTTTTAGTGCCTATAAGCAAGAAAGAAAAGATCTAGAAGTTAGAAAGAGACAGAAATGATGAAAGGGTGACAGAGATAACCTTTATGTACTTCACATTTTCTCTAGTCAATAGTTGCCGACACTGACACTCAAGATCACCTCCTATGTCAACATGGGCAGCGCATGATATCCTTGGACCGCCAACTCCTGATGTATAGCTGTCTGTCAGACTTAACATTTTATCTCTATCACATGAAACTAAAAGTTTTCACGTTGCAAATATGTGTGTATGTATGTAAAATATTCTAAATTTCTCCATTAACGCACACTAAATTACACATATCCTTTGTGGCTTCACAGGGTTGTTATAAGGATAAAAACAAAAAAATTCCAAATGACAATAAATAAAACCATTAGGCAATCAAAGTGATTGTATTGCTAAAAAACACTATTCAAATCTAAGTAGCTTAGAAAGACCACATGCAGAAGATTGAAACAGGACCCCTACTTATCACCATACACAAAAATCAACTCTAAATGGATCAAAGACCTAAACTAAGACCTCAAGAATCTAAGAAAATGCAGAAGACACCCTTACAGAAATTGGAATAGGCAACCCATTCCTGATCAAACCCCAAATGCTCATGCCATAAAAGATAGACAAGTGGGACCTCATCAAACTGATAAGCAGCCAGGCCCGGTGGCTCAGCCTGTAATCCTGCACCTTTGGGAGGCTGAGGTGAGTGGATTGCCTGAGCCCGCAGGTTCGAGACCCGCCTGGGCAGCGAGACCTCATCTCTACAATAAATCAAAAAATCAGCTGGGCGTGGTAGTGCATGCCTGTAATTCCAGCTACTTGGAAGGCTGAGGCGGAAGGATCGCCGGAGCCCAGCAGGTCGAGGCTGTGGTGGCCGGGAGCAGCCACTGCACTCCAATCTGGGCGACAGAGTGAGACTCCAACTCAAAAAAAACCCAAAAAAACTGATAAGCTTCTGCAAAGCAATATAAATCATCAAGAGAGCAGGGAGACAACCCACAGAATGGAGAAAAATATTTGCCAACTGTATACCTGACAAAGGCCTAATAGCTAGGATCTACAAGGAACTCAAACATGCCAAGATTTTACAAAAAGAAAAAAAAAAAAGCCCTATTAAAAAGTGGGCACCTCAGCCTTTCAAGTAGCTGGAACTACAGGCACGTGAAGAAAAAAAAGTGAGCAAAAGATATGAACAGACACCTCTCAAAATAAGACATAAGAGCAGCCAACAGATACATGAAAAAACGCTCAGCCTCACTAATCACCAAAGAAATGCAAATTAAAACCACACTGAGATACCACCTAACTCCAGGCAGGATGGACATCATCAATAACTCAAAAACAACAGATGCTGGAAAAGATGCAGGGAAAAGGGAACACTTCTACACTGCTGGTGAGAGTGTAAGCTAGTAAAACCTCTGTGGAAAACAGTGTGGTAATTTCTAAAAAAACCTAAAAATAAACCTTCCATGTTACTCAGCAATCCTCCTTCTGGGAATATATCCGCAGGAATACAAATCATTCTATAAAAAAGATACCTGCACCTGCATTTTTATTGCAGCATTATTCACAACAGCAAAAACACAGAACTAACCATGCTTGTCCATTGAAAGTGGAATGGATAGAAAACATGTGGTACGTATACACAATGGAATATTACACACCATAAAAAAGGACAAAATTATGGATTTCACAGCAACTTGGATGAATTTAGAGTCTAATACTCAGTGATGTCTCACAGAAACAAAGAACTAAGTACCACATGTTCTCACTCATAAGCAGACCCTGAACATTTAATAATACTATAAGAATACTATAACATTTAATAATACTATACTACTATAAGGCAGTAGTGGAATATTGCAGGGGTGGAGAGGGGACATGGCATCAATAAGAGTACCTGATCTCAAACCAGGCTAAGTGGGGACCAACGGGAGGTCCAACTTTACCTGTAAGATGACCGCTTATCTACCTAATACTGAATTGTACCCCACATCTTTAAAATAAAATTTGAAAAATAAATCTAACTAACCTTGTTCTGTAATCCTTGGGCCTCCACTGTCAACCAGAAAAGTAAAAAGTTTCAGCTCAGCTGGGACACAGTGGCTCACACCTGTAATCCCAGCACTTTGGGAGGCAGAGGTGAGAGGACTGCCTGAGCCCAGAGGTTGCAGACCAGCCTGGGCAACTTGGCAAGACCTCGTCTCTATAAAAAAATCAAAAAATTAGCTGGATATGGTGGCACACGCCTGTGGTTTCAGGTACTCAGAAGGCTCACCTGAGCCCAGTAGGTCGAGGTGCGGTGGCCATGAGTGTGCACTGCACTCCAGACTGGGGGATAGAGTGAGACTTCGACTCAAAAAAAAAAAAAAAAATTTCAGCTCGAGAGTATCAATCACATTTCCAACAATCATATGAGATTAGTAAACAAAAGATAAACCAACCACCAGCATCTTTACTTCCTTCTAGTTTGTAATTTTAAAGTTCATTAATTCAATAAAACAATTTTTTTGTTGTCAATACTAACAGTCATGGGGAAACCTGATTCTTTAAACTTATCCATGCACTAAATTCTGAGAAAGAAAATTTCAATGACTGTCACTTTTACAAAACTCAGAGCTAATTTTAAAAAATATATATGGGCAAAGGTGGAAGTGCAAAGAGAGAGTATAAGTGTCAAAGATGATGAGCTACATATCAAAAAATGCACTTTTTTAAAAAGTCAAGATTTTCCTTAAGTAAAAAATAAGTTACATTTTGGAGAATTATGAACAAATCCCCCTAGTTAAGTCCAATTGCTAAATTCCAAAATGGATAAATAGACATATACTGCATACTTGAATTAGCTAAGAGAGTACACCTGAAACGTTCTCACCACAAAAAAATGTTAACTGTGAGGACAGATATGTTAATTAGCTTGACATAGTAACCATTTCACCATGTGCATATATAGAAAAACATCACATTGCACACCTTAAATATAATTTTTACTTAAGAAAATAAAATTTTAAATGAAAAACAAAAATAGTGGGTATGCAGCATTTCCAAGTTCAAGAAATATCACACATGCCATGCTCACCTTAGCTATTCTATAAACATCTTAAAATACAGATGTGTAGGTAGGTTTAATTTTACCCCTAGAATAAAATATTTTTTATCAGAGTAGTTCTAATCAATATTCATATGAAGGGAAGAAGGGGCAAAAAATCTTATTTCCATCTTTACTTAGAATGTTCAGATACTATACAGGAATATTCGAAAACAAAAGAAGAAGACTTAGAAAAATAAATAAGAATGGCAAAAAATGGCAATGTTATTTTCTCTGGTGTTATAAGAACATTCAAGGAGTCTCATGATCTGACAGATTTATTGCTGAGAATGTATGGATATGAGGTTCCTAGTGAGAAACAGACAAAACATTCAGATATTGGACAAACAAAATGGGTTTAACAAATCCAGACATCTTTTACATATTCTTATTATTCAGACTAAAAAAATAAATGTCAAGTTAGGTTGTTTCTGATGAAACATATTTTGATGTGATGGTGTTAAACGTCAGCATGGGGGGGGACACATCATCAATAAGGGTACCTGATCTCAAAGCAGGCAAAGTGGGGACCAAAGGGAGGCCCAAACGTTCCCTGCATGATGACCATTTGTATACTTAATCCTGAACTGTACACCACATCTTTAAAATAAAATAATAATAGTAATAACAACAGTAATAATAAAGTTAACATGAATAGCCACCAGAAGGTAAAGAGTAGAAAACGCTAGACTCAGGAAAAGAGAATCATCACAGATTCTAAACATTTGTTTAATGTGAGGGGACAAATGACTGTTAATCACTAATAGTTAGAATTCTGCACCAAATAGAGAAGCATGCTTACAGCCAAAGGAATAGGACTATTTAAACATATATCCATAAATTCACTATGAAGAAAATTATCAGTCTGAAATAAGATGTCTCACTAATTAAATAGTTACAAAATTAAATACACTGGGGAGTTTTCTGTAATTTTCTAGACCTATATGATTATTCTCAGTTATTCTTTCAACATATTGACCCTTTACTATATAATCTTAAAAACTAACAGTTATCATATGCAGCTATGGTACTAACAGTAGCTTAGTAAAGCTTCCTGAAGTATGTCACACACAAAAAAAAGACCTTTGACAGACTATCAGACAAATGCAGGATCATCTTCTCCCCCCAAAAATCACCACTTGTTACTTCTCTTACCCAAGAAGTGTACTTAAAACCTTTCAGCTATTTATTTGGAATCAAAGCTTATGGGAATTCATTTCTGCTTGACTATGAAGACAAACATATTTTGAAATTAAAGAGATTTTAAAATTTGGTAACCATGACTATATTTAATATACATGTTTCTAGACAACAAGTGAGATCAGAAAATAATACCCAC